TTTCTGGGCTGGTAGGGGGAACACTACAGGGTGGTGTGGCAGGGGAGCTGCTCTGCAGCCACGGCATCTGCACTGCAGTAGTTTACAACCCTTCTCCACAGCACAAAATCCAGGCACTGAACTGATCTGAAGTGTCTGTTCAGTCCTAATCAGTCCTATATATTAATGTTTTGCTTTTCTGTGCATGCTCCATTTTAGATAAGCCTGATTGTATGTAACACTTTAAGTAATTTCTAATTTTTTTCCCTTTCTTTTTAACAGAATTGGAGGCTGGGAGCACATTGCTGAGCAACCTCAGGTGGCTATTTTCATCTGTTCTGATAACAGTATTTATTCTGAGCAAAGATATTTGTTCTCTCCCTAGGAGATAGCTTTAATGTGCATTCATTCTGTGAGTTAGAGGAGCTTTCATGCTCCTAATTCCAATCTGTTTGATCTCCTACTTAAATTCTAAAATAAGTCTAGTAACTCATGCAGCTAGTATATGTTGGATAAGAATGTATTGATAGTTTGTTTCATTTCCTTTTGTAGAAAAGAAGTAAAGTAATAAAGACAACCTCAGGCCCCACTGAGCCTGTTATTTCTGTGAAATTTTGCAGGTGAAGGGGAGTCTGAAAACACATTAATTCAGCTAAAATGTGATTCAGCCTTATTTTAGTACTGCTCTTCTATCATTTACAAGCAGAAGAGACTTCTTGAGTCACTTTAGCCCTCATTTACCAAACATTTTGTGTGTCAAGGAAAATAGTAAATCCTTTAAGACTCCAGCTACCAGAGAGAGTAAGCCCCTAATATGACCAAAGCACAAAAGGATTTATCATAAAATAAACTAAATTATCCAAACTCATCTCATCAGTAGATTTGAAGGAACTGGAGTTCAGCATCTTAGCAGATATGGGGGTCTCACTATTCATGCTTTCCTACTGTGTATATAATAAACCCCAGCATCACCACAGTTTAAATCAATCAGATCCAGTTATTAAAGACAAAGCCAGCAGGGAGGTGGGAGATGTGATGTGATGTTCAAACAGCCTTTCAGTGTGGCACCACAAGTGAAATCCATGTGTAGGAGCTCCCTGTCCTTGTGAAATGTGCAGAATTCCTTGTGTGTGCAGGGCACTGGCAGGAGCTCAGATTCCAGGGCACAGGGGATGAGTGAGCTGTGCTGGCCTGTGATGGATGGCAGCTGAAACAGCTGCCACAATTCCTGACATAAAGCAGCAACTTGAGATTAGAAACCCAATCACACTGAAAATATTTAAAGCCACAAAGAAGAGAGAAATAAAACAGTGCTGGCTGTGGCCTGGCTTCTTCTTTCAGGTATCTGGAATGACTTGTCCAGTGGAGCTTAATGATAAAGTGCAGCTTAAAAAATGTGTTAAGGAACTGTAATAAACTTCCTCCAATTATCTCTGTAAGTATTTGAAACACAGACAATTCTAATCCTCCTCTGTAATTATGCTGCATGTTTCAAAAATCTGATCTCAGTAACACAATTAAACACAAATGAGACATAATTTATTTAATGGAGAGGTTGTGTGGACCTTCAGTTTTGTTAAGAGAGCTAAGTTACAAGTATAAAAAAACCCCTAATATGCAATTAATGCTGCCTTGATAGTAGTTACAAAGACAACTGAACCCTTTCAAGAGAGAATAATTTTATTTTGTTTTTCAAGCAATTACCCTAATGTAATTGCTGCTCATAATCTGGTCTGCTTGATGCAAGCTCAGAATTTCATAGAATGTTCAGTGTAATAGAGGAATATCACAGCTTTGCACTCTCTTTGCCTATACATTGGTGATGTTCTTATACTATTTCTCCATCAAACAATTTGTATTTGCCCTCCTGTGATACCAAATTCCTCATATTTATTCCCATCACATTTTATGAAATGAATGTGAATTATAACAGGGTTTTTTTCAGCTCTACACAGAATTCATGAATAACAAATTCCTAAAGAAGAGGAAGGAAAATAGATCCCTGTGAAGTTTAGTAATGATCTGTAATGGATCAAGGCAGAAATAGTGTTAAAGTTGGTGCAGCAAAGTACCCTTGAGAATTTCCTTCTCTTTCAGGGAGAGTGCAGTTGTCACTAAATGTAAACCTTATTAAATGCAGCTAGAGAGTGCTGTGCAATGATGCAATAAACCCAGGGATGAACAAATAATGTCTCACCACACCTCATGTTTTCTACCCAACTCTTCTTTAATGCCAGCTGTCAAAAGAACAGTGGTGATTATTATGGGATCACCTTGCTGATCTGCACAAGGCTGTACATGCATTGAAACTGATACATGCTGAAAAGGAGATAAATGCATATAAATTACTTGGGGAACTGGTAAAATTATAGTATTAGTTTAAAGAAATCTCAACCAAATTAATCCATGGATGTAGATGCTTGTAAAAGAAGCATAAGTTTTATTAGTTACAAAAACTAGATACAGGGGGAACTGATGTGAAAGTAATAAAATGACATGTAATGAGAATAAGACAGGTATTACACACATTGATAGGCTAATGTTTTTTATTTTAATGTTTTAGTACTAATTTTAATGTTTTTAGCACTAATATTTATGGAATTCATAATCTTATGTCCTCATTTTTCTAATGCATATTTTAAAAAATTGTAATATCTTTTGAATCCACTCAGTAAACCTTTATCAAAACTTTATTTTGGTGGTGTAACATGACTTTTTTGTGATCCAGTTTTGTCAAAAGCATTAAAACGAATGAATGTACCTATAGCTCCAGCATACATAATGTATAACATCTACTCCTAGAGCCATCTCTGTACCATGTTTTGAAATGGGATATGAAGGTTTGACACATGGCTTGAGCAATGATTCATTTTGGCACAACTCTTTTAAAGGGATTTTAAAATAATCTGCAAATCACCCTGAAGTAGAGCACCTAAGATGGGTTGTGTTTTCAAGGTGGATGTTGTGATGTGATAATTAATTCCCCCAGGCCAGCAGATGATGGAGCATACACATATCTACATTCATATATAAGTTTTCTAAAATATACATATATTTATGTGAACACAAAAGTGTGTGACTGAAAATCAGGTCTCAAAATTTTAAATTAGTCCTATGTGAACATCAAAGTATAACTCTAAACTGAGTGGATTTTATCTTAACAAGTTAGTGGCATGGACACAATCTGTTAAAAAAGGAGTCTGCAGCCATCATTTTGCTTTCAATCCTATACAGTGTGCTGTTTTTGTGAGATGCAAGGGTGTTATTTAATGGAAATGAGAGATATAATTTACTCATAATTATCACAAAAAAGGTTAATGCAGAATGTAGAAGTGACTTTATATGTTTTTCAAATTACAATAATAGACTCACCAAGGAAAAATTCTTTTATAAAACATTCCATTATTGCCTTTACAGACCCATAATTTGAGGATTACTGCTCAAAAACCCAGATGAAATGATTTTACAATCTTGACGCCATTAAAGGTTTAAGGATTGTCTGGTTAGATTACAAAGAATTGAGATGTGAAAAATGTTCTGCGATTTATTATGCTATTTAAAATTGCACATTTCACTGCACATGTGACATCTGCAGAACAGATACCGCCTGTGCTGAGTGTGGGGCCTTCTCACCTACAGGTAAACTTTGTACCACTTATTATTTCTGCATCTCTAGCACAGTAGAAGCATTTATTATGACATCCATTTCTCTCATTCCAGGCACACCCAACATGATACTGCTGATCCTCAGGCCAATCATCCATTAGGCATTCATTAAGTGCCAGAGTGATAGGCAAATGCAAATTACAGTTATAATAATTCCAACAAAGGAGTTGATAAGGAAAAGGTAAGGCACAGGTCTGTAGCTCAGCGAGGGTAAGGATCTCAACCAGAAGCACTACTATAGCCACACTTTATATTGCTGAAATAAAAAGGCCTAAAGCACCGGTACTGGTTCTCAGGGGCAGTATGTGAGCATCTGCAAAAGGGAAAACAAGGAAAAGTTCAGCAAACACGCGAGGTACAGCTGGTTCACTGTCGCTGTTAGGGCAGCCTGGGCAGGGGTTCCTGTCCCCTTGCTCTGCTTTGCAATTTTCCTCATGAAGTTCCCAGTTAACTTCTGTCCTCTTGCTGCTTGTAAACACATTAAGCTTTGTCCATTTTCAGTGGGAGAGGATGGGTTTACGTGGTTCACAGCAATCCGAACTGGCTGCCTTGCTGTGGATACATTACCTGTGCGATGACAGATGAGTTGTTTCACGCTCGGCAGGGCCTGGGAGGTTCGGGCCTGGGTCCCAGCGCTCGGTACGGCTGAAGGCGCTGAGAGCTCCAAGGGCAGCCGGGCTCCTGGGGAGCTTTTCTCCGTGCGCCCATCACCGATCACAGCCTTCACTCTCGGGAGCTGCAGCGGAGCCAGCCCAGCGTAGCTCCGGAGGAAACTGCCGGGAAAAGGCATCCGGGCGACCCGCAGGGCCGAGGCGGCTCCCGGCCGGGGGCTGGCGGCGGCACTGGGCGCGGCCTCCCGGCCTGGGCCCGGAGCCCCGCGCACCGGCCCGGCTCAGGGGCGGCCCCGCGGGGCGCAGCGCTGGGCCCGGCCCGCGGGCTGCCGGCACCATGGCCGCGGGCGCAGGGGCGCGGCGGGAGCCGGGAGAGCCGAGCCTGACAGGAAGCGCGGCGGCCGGCGCTGCGCGGGCGGGCTCGGCCCTCGCCGTCCCTTCCGCCCCCGGCCGCGCTCCGCCCGCGCCGCCCGGCTGCTGGCGGCGGCCCCTCAGGTGTGCGTGGAGGGAGCGGAGCGGGGCGGCGCTGCGCTCCCCTCGCTGTCTGGCCCGGCCGCCGCAGCCGCTCGCAGGCGGGCCCGTCACGTGGGGCAGCGGCGGCGGCGCTGCGGTCGGGTCTGTTCTGTGCCACCTGCCCCGGAGCGGCAGCGCGGGCCGGCCATGGGGCCGCGCCGGCCGCCCGCTCCGCTCCCGGCTCCCCGGCGGGCGGGGGCACCGCGGGCCGGCGGCGCCGCCGAGGACTCCTGCGGCTCGGCGTAGCGGCTCGGCGGGCGCGGAGCCGCCGCGGTTCCCCCCGCGCTGAAGGGCAGGCGACAGCGACCCGCCATGGAGAAGGCAGCGGCCGCGGAGCTCCGTCAGGGCGCGCTGGCGCCGCTCACTGCTATCTGCCTGGGTGAGTGCGGCCCGGCCGCTCCCTGGCGGCGGGGCACGTCCGGGCACCGGCTCTGGGGACCGCTGGGCCCCCTCCTCCCCTGCGGGAAGTGCCCGTGGGGCGCGGGATGGGACGAGGCTGCACCGCCCGAATGGTGCCGGCCGAGCCCCCTCCCGTCACCGCTTCCGAACGGGCCCCGGGCCGGCGCGGCCCCGCTCGCTCAGCGCCGCTCGGGCTGCCGTGCCCGGCCGTGTGGGGCCGCGCAGAGCGCTGCCGGATCCAGCGGAACCCATCGCCTTGCCCTTGGCTCTGGAAGCGCTGCCATAACCTCGCATAGCCCTGAATAAAAAAAAAAAAAAGTTTAGGAGGCATCAGCGGTTCTTCCGTGGGCTGTGAGCTTGTGCGGAGTGCGGTGCGGGCTCGGCCAGGTACTGCCCGGCGCTTCTTTTGAGTGGCAGCAGGAAGAAACATTTCCTCTCCCTCCGTGTCTCTGCCATATTCTGCTCTCTTCCCTCCCTTCTGCTTGAAGCCGTTGCTTTCCGCTCTGCTTCTCAGCAGGTGTTAATTTATGGCAACGTGATGAAGCGTATCGCTGCTTTCCAGTCTGTCAGCCCGTTCAGGCAGGGCATGGTTTTTGTTCGGCAGAAGCGTCGGCGCCTGGCTGTGACAGGAAGGAGCGAACGACAGGCCCGGCGTGTTTAACAGGGACACGAGAAGTTAGGAGCTGCTGGAGCTGCCTTAACTCTGCCAGGGTATCCTGGTGGGGCAGCGCATCAGGAGCAGCTGAGCAGAGCTCTGCTGAGCCCTCCACACTCACTTGGTAAACTGGCACAGCTCCTTGATGCAGAATGCTTTAACTCACATCTCTGTGCTAATGAAGTGGATTAGAGTTAATTTTTAATAATCCCGAGTGACAGTTACTATTTGTTGTGCAAAGGATCAGAAAGGGATATCTTGTGGCCAGACTGCTTGTTCTGTAAACCAGACTGCTTGTTTGTGTAAAAGTGCTTTCTTAACATCAGCGCTTCCTTAAGCACTTCCTTAACATCAGCACTTACCTAGAAAAATGTAGGAAGTTGAAGTTTAAAGGTTGCTGTGGTTATTTCAAATGTATCTAGTTTAATTAACGTAAGTGCAATGTAAAAAGCTAGCTAAACTATAAAACACTTTGAACATCCAGGTCGCACAACTCTTCTTTTTTGCAGAGTCTTAACAGGATTTCAGAGATGTGCACAGCATGAGGATAATATCTACTGCACTTCTTATTTAAAGTTAGAGAAAGATACCTATTTTCCCTCTATCTCTGAATTTCTTACTGTTTTTTGGGGGATGTTTTGGATTTTTAAAAATTTTATTTAGGTTTTTTTTTTTTTGTGGCCCAGTCAGACCTTTCTTAAGCCTGTTACTAGTTGACATAAATAGCATGGTTATTGTTAAAATGACTAATGAGATAATAAAAGGTTATGTAAACTCCAGAGCTGAAGTGAGAACACTTCTTGTGTTTAGGTGTGGGTGATGTCAGGCTGAAAGTTTAGTAGATTTCTGCTTTCTATGACTTCTAGAATTTCACTGTCTGGCTCTTCTTTTCAGCTGGAATGTTTTATTCCTATTCCTTGCACAACTGACAGTAGTGGAAGTTGAGAAACATGAGAGGTGGGAAGTTTGTAAGGTATTTTGCTTTAGTGAACCCATAAGAATTTAATGCTGCTACTTTAACTATTTTTATGTTTTACTTCCTGCTTGTCTGTCCTTTCCTTTCATCCTTGTTTTTGGTCCTTGCCATGCTTTCCTTGTTTTCCCACGGGCTGTGTGTGGGTGTTTGGTGTCTGTATCAATGCACTGCCACTGACCATTGCTGTGTGACCTCATCTGTAAACTGCTGCTCCAAAGGCTGGAACTGGGTTTGTTTCAACTGCTCTTTTGTGCAGCCATTCTGTTTATCATTCTTGAGAAATTCTGGAGGACATAGAAAGTTACCAAATAAGAAGGAATCAGTGAAACTGAAGTCTCTCCTTCTGGCTGTAGGGAAAGCCTGGTAGCTGTCATTTGGTTTTGGAGGTGCCAAGATGTAAATTTCCCTTTTCATCTAAACAGCCACTTTCCAAGCTGAAAACCTCACCCTGAGAATTATTTAGCAATCCACATGAATGGCACAGTAACTTTCCTGCATGGGGTTCAAGCCTACTGAACCACTTCAGGGATTATTTCTGGCTTTCCCATAACTGCTCAACAGTTGAAAAAAAAGGGCATCTAGGAAACTTTCTAATACTTGAGTGTCTCACCTGTTTTATTTTGACAAGAGACAAGAAAATCAGCAGGGAATGGCTGTTCTTTCTTACAGGCCTCTGCCAGTTTTGAGAGCTGAGTGCTGGTTTAACAGTGCTCCTGTGGTTTGATTTCATGGTCTTGAGTGAACAAAATGGGTATTGGAAACTGTAAACATTCAGTTGCTTGGGAAAATATCTGGTGTGAGACTTGGATTTTATTTTAAAGAGCTATTTTTGCTGACTTCTTGAAGAACTTGCAACTGCAGCCAATAAAAGTTTTTTTGCAGAGATAAAGGAGTATTTTTGGGTGTTCTCTTAGGTATCTGCCAGGTGTGGTGTGCAAGCTGCCTATATTTACCACTGCATTTGTGGTAGTAAGCTGGGGCTCTCTGTTTAAAAGTCCTCTGTAATGCAGCTCTGAGTTGGCTGATTCTACTCTGTTATGCCCCTTGTCTTTATCCTACTTATTTCCATTTAAAGGGCAGAGGGTCCTCTTCTAAGCCATGTGAGGAAACCTCTGCTTCAGAGCTTGTTTCTGTTATGGCTGTTGGGAGTGTTCAGGTGGGAAACATAAAGAAAGATTCCAGTGGTAGTACAGACCCAGACTCTTCCATACATTGTATCTTCAAACCCTCCTTTCAGTTGTGCTGATATTAGTTCTGCAGAGTATATTCCTGTACTTTCTCTGGAGCAAAACCAAGTATTTGACTTCTCATGAATATAAATTTGTGACACAATCATGGATTAATTTCATCTCAGTCTTTAGGACTATATTACTATGGTTACAGAAGTAGTGGCACTTTAATACTGGATGAGGAAATGTTATGTTGCTGTTGCTGCTGTGATCCTGAGTTTGTCACAAACGGATGTGCTGTTGGCCAGAGTTAACAGGGCTGTTGTTTCCTGGTACAGGACAGGATTTTTGCTCCTAGGTACTCTTACTCACCTAACAGAGCAAACCAGCTCTGTGAAAGAGGAAATAATGACATGGCACACTGTTATTGTCATATAACAAATGTTACAGATGTTAGCTAATTATGTAATAAAACCAGTGCTGTTAGGGTCCTTTGAACATCATAATAATGCTTATTAACACAAGTCTGTGGCTCAGGTGTGTTTCTCCTCAAGCTGTAGCATTACATAGACTGCCATTCCTGGTTTTGTGTATTCCTAAAAGCTCAGTCCCAAGACTTAGAAGGAGGGGGAGGTCACTTGTCCCTGGGATAGAGCCCTGAAGTCTGTGATGAGTGGCCCCAGGAGCAGTCCTTCTCTCTGTTTTGTAGGGCCTGACCTCATCCTGAGCTCTGAGGTCCTCCCAAAAGGAGGAAATCCAAACTGGATAGCCAGATACGAACCATGGAGGGACAGCTGTAGGCACCTGGGCTGCTGCACTGTGGTGGTGACTGAAAAATGTGACTGGGCCTGAACTGGGGAGCTGAGGGTTTGTTTTTTATTTCCACCCCTTTAGTACTTCTTGTACCGGTTTAAGTTATAACAGAAGGTAGGGCAAGGGTCATTGTTTAGGGATGTGTTTGGACAGTTTGAAGACAATGGGGGCCCCCTCTGAGCCATAAATAGTGTTAATTGTCAGCTGCTTCCTAAACGACTGTTTAGAACAGGGATGGTTTCTCTTCCTCTCTTCTCCTATTGTTGGTGTTTAAATGATGTTTTTAACTAAATTCTTGCCAAGAGATTGCCTGTTAAAAGATTTAGGACTTAACATGTGCAAAATAAAGCCAAAGTGAGTTCTCAGGCTGGGATGTTGTAAATGAAGTTTTTGGTAACATTTTAAACCTTTCTAATTTTTTTAAGCATTTGTCATTTTACTAAAGGCTATTTTTGTAGATTACAGATTACTGCTGAAATGAGAGCGATCAGTGGGACACGCTGTGTGGGGAAATTAAAAGGGAACTACATGTTAATGCTGACTTCTGGAGCAACAATGACACAGGACACATTTTCTTTGGCAATAACTACTCTTTCCAGATCACTTTAATGGTATACACTGTGAGAGGAGACTTGAGAAAGTGAAGAGTCTTTGGAACTTAATTTGCAAGTCAGATATGTATTGCAAGTACTGCCTCATCCTGTTTTGATTGTATTAGTGGACCTTGTTGAAAACTTCATTGCTTTTGCTTAGTCAAGGCAATCATGTTAGCTTGAGCAGCTGATTTTCAAGGTGACATTTACCTGGGGGGAGCAAACTTTGCTGTATTCAGAGAAGTATTTAAGGATAATAATGGCGTTTTAATGTGATTGTTCTTCTGTGTTCTGCAATTAAAATGAATCCTATGGGAGATCATTTAAAATAGATTGGCAATTGTTTCTTTTGGTAGCTGTTTCAGAGATACTAAACTTCCACTGTGTATTGACTTGTTTTAGCTACAGTGAAGGATAACAGTTGATTACACGACTTGCCTGTGCAGATAAGCAAAGTTCTTCTTGGGAAACTGGAATGCATTTGTGCTAACACCCCAGGAATGGTTAACTATTGACTGCCACCCTGTGCTGCTAGAATTTGTCTGAACATTGTTTTTCTGTCTTTACACAGTGAATCTCTTCCTGACTGGGAAAATAGAAAGTGCTGTTACCTCATTAGGTAAGACATACTTTCCTTACCTCTATTTCCTGTTCATTTGAGCTGTTACTGTTTCTTCCTCATGCAGAGAGATGTTGAAAGAGTGACTTTTTAAATGACATTTGTTTGAGACAGACTAACGATGACATTTTTGGAAGTTTAGGACTTCAGGTCTTCGTGGGCTTTGTCCTGGTGTCAGCCAAAGTGAAGGATCTCTGTCCTGCTGTCCCCAAGGCTTGGGTGGCTGTCCCTGTGCCAGGGCTGTCCCCATGTGTGCTCGGTGGGGGGACATGGCCAAGGTGCCATGCGGAGGCCACGCCACTGTTCTGGTCACTCTGGCCCTGTCCCTGTGTTCTGGTCACTCTGGCCCTGTCCCTGTCCCTGTGTTCTGGTCACTCCTGGCCCTGTGTTCTGGTCACTCTGGCCCTGTCCCTGTCCCTGTGTTCTGGTCGCTCCTGTCCCCGTGTTCTGGTCACCCTGTCCCTGTGCTCTGGTCAATCCTGGCCCTGTCCCTGTGTTCTGGTCACCCTGTCCCTGTGCTCTGGTCACTCCTGGCCCTGTCCCTGTGTTCTGGCCACCCTGTCCCTGTCAGGCTCCAAGGGCTTTGGCCATCACCCTCTGTCACACGCTGCTGTCATTGGTGGTGCTGCTGTCATCGGTGGTGTCACTGTCACTGATTGTTCTCTCATCTGGTTGCTGTTAAATTGTGAATTGTTCCAGTAACAGTAAATTGTTATCTCAACCCCTAATCTGTGTTTCATCTCTCTCACCTGAGGGCTGGGGGACAGGAGTGGCTATGGGGTTTATTTTCCACTTGGGTTTAAACCACAACAGGATTATGGACTGCATCATTGTCAGTGATAGATAAAAATTGTAAGCTTGAGGCTGAGGTTGTAGTGCTGGCTATGTTTAGAGGAAAACTGTGTCTGGGGAGTCTGCCTGGGAGCACCAAGTCAGGGAGAGCGGCTCATTCCTGAAGAAGCTAAAACAAGAATATTAAAAATGTCTCATGAATGTCAGTGTGGAAATTTAACCAGAATCACAGCACTTAGTGTAATTTCCTTCTCTCTAGCAGTGCTGTGACTTAGTGATATTATGGGAACATTGCAGTCAGGGTCTTCTCAGTGATAAAACCTTCTTGTGATTGTCAATCCACTGTCATATGTGTAGATGTACTTTATTCCCAGAGAGGCTGCAACTCATATTAAAACTGAAAATGGCAAATAAGGGAGATAGGAGGAAAGGATATTGGAGAACAGAAAAATAATTCTAGGACAGTAGATTGAATAATATTGGAGCTTGAGTGTTCAAGTCAAAATTGGGGGTTGAGAGAAGGTTTAAATCAGGAGAAGGTAGTAATTTTATGATTAGGTAACCTGCTTAAATTAAGCCTTAAATTAGAGGAAGTGTGGTCAAGCCATGCAGGACATGTTGTTTGCAACAGTATTTTCCATTGTTTCCCTGGAAAAAGTACAGAGTGTCACTTATGTCCTGTATGTTCTGCCTGGATGGTTCTTTAGCTTTTGATGGAGTTTGGCATCTGTTTGGTGTAGGATGCATGAGTTTACAGAAAGTAAATTAAGTAATTACACAGTTACTTACTGTTGTTGCTTACTTGGACTGGTGACACTGCCCCAGCCTAAAATATGTAAAGCTTCTTCCAGTTGGCTCTGCTGCTTTTTAACACTTTCTTTTCACTAGAAATAGAGTTGTAACATCTGGCTTTTATTCCTCAAGTATGCTGAAAACCTCAGAGTACTGTAGCCTTCATGTTTTCTTGTCTTCATACAGTTTTGAGTTAGCTTATTTCCTGATGGTGTAACTGGAGCTTGGGATGAAAATGATCCACAAAGGTCATTGCACCAGAGGGATCCATCCCTGTGCAGCTTCTCTGACCTGTGCTCACACCAAGCCAGGTGGGCCTGTTGATGGAGCAGTGTGAGCTCAGGGTTTGTCACATCTGTAGGTGGAACCCTTGGACTCTGCCTTCACTGGCTCTGATCAGGGACAGAAAAAGCCAGCTGGAGCCTGGGCAAAGCAAAGGGGAGCCTGAAGTCTTATTTTCCACAGGCATAAGGGATCTGCATTAAACCACGTGTGCAAGCCCCCTTTGAGGGAGCATTGTGAAAACTTGGGGAGAGTTTCCTGCTGACACTGAGAGCTACTTGAGGAAATGTGTATTGCCAAGAATTTGGGTTTGAGAGGAGGTTCCTGTGGCAAGTGCAAAACATCTTTTATCCTGGAGCGGATGGTTGGGATGTGTTCCTTGTGACTGGTGCAGAAGAATGTGAAGCTGCAGGATTTATTTTTGTCTGGGATTGTCTGAAAATGTATTCCAGCACAGCATAGTACCCTCAGTTCTGTCCTTTGCTGAAGCTTAATGTATGTTTTATTACAGTTACTCTTGCAAAAATAAGAGTAATATTATTAATGTAAAGATTTTGGAAATTTCATTGTACGTATTTGTGGCATACTTAACTGGCAGAGGGAATCTACTGCTGTTTACAGTAGAAGAAATCCATTTGATTGTTACAGAAAGCCTCATTAAGATTTATGCCCTCATTAAGATTTATATCCTCTTGACAGAAACTCTCTGAACTCAAATCTCTTCTGGCATTTGTTTAAGTTTGGGGTTTTCTTTTTCTTTGCTTGTTTAGTTGTTGTTGTTGTTTAGGGTTTTTTTTAACTGTGGAAGATTTATTATTGTTAATTATTTCATAATTTATGTTTTTTTAAAAAACACCATCTCAGTAAAGTTTTTGGTGGGTTGGTTGGACAGTCCAGGAATTTGTATTTTTATGTTTCTTCAGTAAGCTAAATTTAAGCAGTGGGAAATTTAAGCAGTGTGGAGTTTTTAGTGAATTGGGATTTCACTTTTCTTTTAGGTTTGTGCAGAAAGGCTGTGGAAAGACAGCGAATTGTTGAAAAAGTGTTATCACTATTCTTTTGTGTTGTAACTGATGATAAGGTCTACAGAATCCAGGACTGTGCCTTTCTATTTGGGAACTTCCCTTTCCTTTAGATGTTTTGGCAATTTGAGTAGGCCTTTGTTTGTTTTCCTGAAGGAATCACAGTGTCATGCTGAAGCCCTAAGTATTTATTAACACAGTACTTAGGCACGTGTGTGATTTTGCAGACTTCATGGCCAGGAGCTGAGGAGGGAATTGGGACCCTTTTATTAATTATGAAGCTCCAACAGTATAAAATTCTGCCCTTGTGTGGTTTTACCATTTTGTTGTTAGCACTGAAGGCTGTGTTTAGTAAAGGTATTTCTTTCAAAATTTAAGTGTGTGGAAAAAGAGCTGCTGAAAGCTGTGCTGGGATATTTCACCTTTTCTTCCTTGCAGCAGTCAGGGCACAAGGAGTGGAGGGGCAGGGGCTGCTTTAGGAGGAGATCAATTGATGCTTGCAAAGCCTGTAGTAATGAGCATTGGTGGGGAAAAAGGCACCAAAAACAGGAGGCAATTAAGTGAGGTTTGGGTAAACACTACAGTGGTTTTGGGAGGGGTGTATGTGTGTGTCCCCAGTTTGCTCCAACAGGTTTAGGGGACCGTGGATGTGTTGTTAAAACAGTGTAATTAAGTTTTGGCAATACTGTCTTGGTGTCTTTTATAATGACAGTGTACCCCATAATCATCTGTGCCCAGAAATCCTTCCTGTATCTCGGAGGGTCCCTGGCCAGGAGCGGTGTGGGTGTGATGAGGGGTGTGTGTGTGTGGTGTGTGTGAGCTTCTGTGTCTTTGAGTGCTTTGTTGAGTTTGTGTGTCTGTGAGTGTGGTGTGTGCTAGTTTGTGTGTCTGTGAGTGCTTGTGTGTGTCTGTGACTGTGCTGTGTGTGAGTTCGTGTGTTTTTGTGTGGTGTGTGTGTCTGTGAGTGTGGGTGTGTGTCTGTGTGTGGTGTGTGCTAGTTTGTGTGTGAGTGGTGTGTGTGTCTGCATGTGTGTGTGTCCGTGAGTGGTTTGTGTGTCTTTGAGTGTGTTGTGTGCTAGATTGTGTGTCTGTGAGTGGTGTGTATGATTTTGTGTGTCTGTGAGCGGTGTGTTTGTGTCTGTGTGTGGTGTGTGCCAGTTTGTGTGTCTGTGAATGGTGTGTGCGAGTTTGCTTTGGCGCGTTGTTCAAGAGCTGCCCGAGCAGCCTCTCTGCCCCTCATGGTGGCGGGCTCGGAGATAAGGGAAGCTGCAGCGACGCCGTTTCTAGCCCCAAGCTCGGTGTCTTCTGAGAGGCAGCAGCAGCAGCCATCAGCCATTTCCAGCCCCGGTGCCTGTCGGTCTGTCCCCTCCCCGCGGTTTCGGGACCCCGGGA